ATATATATATATATATATATATTACATATACACTTTTTTTTTGGTACCATGGATCTAACTCGGGTCCTTGCGTTTGTGAGGCAGGCGGTGGCACCACTGAGCTAAATCCCCAGCCCTAAAGAATGTATTTATGATCTGAATCTCCTGTTCAATTTCCTCCCAAAGAAGACCACTTAAGTTCTCCAAATGTGGACACTGACTGTGGCCCACTACGTTTGGGCAGCTTCGGGGCCAACATCCTGTCTGGTACAGGTGCCCCAGTGAACTGGAGGCCAAGCAAGTGACCCTGACCCGCAGGCTGGGTACATTAAGGAGACAAAAATCTTTTCTGTGGTTAATCACCAGGATAAAGGTGATTAAGCGGGAATTATTCTTCAATGACCTATATAATTTAATCAGGGCTGCTAGAGCCATTAGCAGGGAGCAGCTGACTTCTTAACGAGATGAAGATGATAGCAGGACCTTCCAGAGAAGCACAGGGAGTAGCAAGCCCAATCTACGGACAAGAAACAAATGGTAGGCATTGTTCTTCCCCCTCAGAGGCTGGCTCTGCTTGGTTTTTGCCTCCTTCCCTCCAGGGGATACGTGGTTTCTCAGTCCCAGGGTGGCCGGGGCTGCAGCACTTGCTGAATGGTGTTAGCTAAATCTGTTATAAAAGCATGGGTCCAGGAGCCCCGGGATAAGTCACCAGACCCGTTCATGTGATCCCTAAAGTCCCAAGCAAACACCAGCCGGCTGCCACCACCACCAACACCTCCTCCAACCTGGCTTGAAATAAAACAGCTAGTTCTGCCCCCTCAAAGAAGTGGGTTAACAAGAGAGCTTTGTTGAGATCAAGCAAAACACACACACGTACAATCAATACCAACAATGACCTGAATGCAGTCTCCTCAGCGAATTTATGAAATTGGGCAACAGCCACCCAACAAGTTAAGTCCTTACCCCAGGAAAGTACTCCAACCTGACTGGCACCACCTGTCTCTTAACAAATGTGCGCAAGAAGGCTTGGAAAGGAAAAGCAGACCCAGAGCTCCTCGCCTTCGCCAGTTCCTCCCTTAGGACCAAGGTGTTCTGGCCCCGGGGACGGAGGAAGGGGGTGGAGAGCCTGGTGACATCTTCCTCCGTCAAAACAAGCCGGCCTCTGTCCGCCAGGGTCCGTCACCGAGCACTGTCCAGGGCTGAGAGCCCCATACAGTGACCCCGTCTGGGGCACTGCGCCCCGAAGACCGCTCTCCCTTTTTCCTCCAACTAAAATAAGACTCCTCCAGCGCGAACCTCGGGTCTGCTCGCCACGTACCTGTAGGCGGACGCAGCCCCTGGTCGCCGCGCGAACCCCGAAACGAACAGGCTGAAAGTTTGCGCCGCGAGCCCCCGAGCCGCCACCCGCGCCGG